GGAGGGGAAGGTGAAGTCTATGCTTTTTTTGATGGGAAGGAATTGGTATCAGTTTGATGCCAGAACACAGGCCACAGTCAAGAAAGCAGCCAATAGCCAGCCACAATAAGTGTTGGGCTTAGCTGTAAAAATTTAAAACCTGTCACGTTGGGGCTTAACATTTGCGTCGAAGACAGCAACTGGCTGCAGCGGAAATGGGTGCGTTACATATATAATTAGCTCTTCTGCATCCCACCACTCCACATTAGTGAGATTCAGCGTAGCCTACAACAACAGTTCCAGAAAGGGTCAAAAATCAGTCAAGAAAACAAAAAGCAAATCACTAAAAAGTCAGATTAAGGGGGTCAATTAACATACCCGCTAATTGAGAATGAGGTTAGAACTCGAGTTTAATCCTTACCAGAGAGCGTTCTCAGTGGGTAGTGTTCTCAACCCAGCCAGCTGCCCAATGAGTAGATTCAGTTAAAATTCCCAGTTCCCCGAGTACAATCTAAAAAGTTTGAAGGTAGCCAACATGATTCGACCGAAGAGAAACAAAACCGCAATACCAGAATCCAGTACTCACCGACAAAGCAAAAATGGCTCACATTAATAAAAAGGTGGGCTTTAAAAGTCAGTGAACATTAACTGGGTGCGACAAAACAGAGGCCCAGAGAGTTGACTCCGTCTCCGCTCTGCAAAGTAGCGCAACAGGCTGCTACAGCTGCTCGTCCCCTTTGGGAATGTCGGAAGAACCATCGAGTGTTGGAAGGATGGGCAGCTCCCGAACTGTGGTCCAGACCAAAGTCAGTCTGGCCAAGCTGTGGAATTGGGTGAAAAGGGCTGCATGCTGCTTGGAGACGATAGGGAGGTGGCCTCTCTTGTGACGCTGCATGTGGAGACAGGCTCATGGCACAGACCCTGGCACAGTCCAACGTGCTGGTTGGGGGTTGGGGGTTGGGGGTGGGGGGTTTGCAGAGGTATTGACAAATCCCAGGCACAGACAGTCCGACGAGAGGCATCAGCTCCAGAGATGGGCTGGACAAGTACAGGTGCCCTCTTACACTCCAGTGAGGGACCTCTGTTGGTCTCCATCCTACTGGGGTGTGGAAGCATCTCCCGCAAGTATCAGTGCAGATTGGAAGTTGCTGATGGAGTGGGGGGGTTGGTAAGTAGGTAGACATTGATCCATAAAGCAGGCCTCTTAATCTCTTTACAACAGCCCCCCACAAAATCCCAAGGCTGTTCACGTCCATGGCCTTCACAAGGACCTTGTCCCAAATACAGTTGCCTATTCTGCTGTGGATTACCCATTCCTCGATATTAAGGCCCTCAAAACATTATTTCTTTTAAAAAAAAACACACACACACACAATTACAAAACAAAATCAGGTTGGCCTATACCGACTGATATGCTTCGCTCAGGCAACAATTGACAGACAGAGTCTCGCTAACGGGAGACTGGCCGCGGAACAACGGGCTGAAATAAACAGAAAGCTTAAAAAAAAAGGCTGGTTTTCGAAGGGAGCGGATACGTCTTACGTGGGTTCTAAAACGTTCACCAATTGCAGGGAAAACCGGTGGGAGAGAAAAAAAAAATTAACATCGACGCTTTCTTAGCCCGTGTCGCCCCACCCCTGCCATCTCCCTTTCGGAGAGAACACTGGTCTGCTCAAAGTCCGTTGCGACTGGATTCCCCACCCACCCCCCCCCCCCCCCCCCACCCTCCCACCCAGGACCAGCTCAGAACTCATCATCTGAGCTCAGCAGGAGTGTCTTCTCTGTGTCGCGAATACTGGCGGCATTGTGGGTCCGTGAGGCAGCGTGCCCGTTACGCCAGGGCGTGCCATGCTCCAGTGTCGACTGTTGTGTATACTGCTGGTAGGCCGGCGAGAAGTTGTGGATGGCATCCTGGACGATGTCGTGTGGGTTCATGGTTTCCTTCAGGCTGCTGGAGATGCTCTTCATGGGTGCACAGCGACCTGAGGAGGGGTAGTTAAAAAAAAATAAAAAGGCTTTCAGGAACCCATGCTGGTCTCTCTCTCTCTCTCCCCACACAGACGTTGCCAGACCCGCTGAGTTTCTCCAACGATTCCTGTTTTTTATTGCAAGGATGGATGTGTTGTTCTGAAGCCTGGGGGGCCCAAATCATGTGACATGAAGCGTTTGAAGGATTTGATCTTGGCAACACTGTGCAGGTTGAGGTTGCCCACAGACCTGCCAATCCAGCCAGGCCCGAATTGGCCATCACTCCCTCACACGGCTCACTGTACGCCTGCAACGTCACGCTAGGGAGAGTCTGTTCACTGGCTCCGGAGTGCGGGAAGGGATTTGCTTAGATATTCCTATGATTGGTAACGGCAAATGGGAGCATCATATGGCACAAAGGGACCCTTTCAAGTCAGCGTCAACCACTGGAGTGTCAGAGGCTGACGGGTGACCTTATAGAGCTTTATAACATCATGACGGGCATGGTTAGGGTGAATAGCCAAGGTCTTTTTCCCAGGGTACGGGAGCCCAAAACTAGAGGGGCATAGGTTTAAGGTGAGAGGGCAGAGATTTAAAAGGGACCTAAGCAGCAACTTCTTCCACACAGACAGTGGTGTGTGTATGGAATGTGGAGGCTGGTACAATTACAACATTTAAAAAGCATCTGGATGGGCATATGAATAGGAAGGGTATAGAGGGATAAGGGCCAAATGCTGGCAAATGGCTCTAGGTTAGATGGAGATGCCTTGTCAGCGTGGAGGAGTCGGACTCAAGGGTCTGTTTCTGTGCTGCATGACTTTAGAGTCCCACTTTCACCATTTGGCACATGGCCCTCCTGCAAGAATGTTAGTCCAATTCTGCTTCAGGTGCAGCAGACTCTTCCTCAGAAACAGTCCCAATGATCCAGGAGTCTAAAACCCTTCCTGCTGCACCTAATCTTGAGCCATACATTCACCAAAGAGGCAGCACCTTCCAAACCCACGCCCACTTCCATCTGGAAGGACAAGGGCAGCAGATACAGGGGAACACCACCATCTGCAAGTTCCCCTCCAAGTCACTCACCGTCCTGACTTGGAAATATATGCTTCAGTGTCACTGGGTCAAAATCCTGGATCTCCCTCCATAAGGGCATTGTGGGTCAACCCTACAGCAGGTGGGCTGCAGTGGTTCAAGAAGGCAGCTCACCCCCACCTTCTCAAGGGCAACTAGAGACAGGAAATAAATGCTGGCCTAGCAGTAATGCCCACAACAAACTAGTAAATAAAAGCAACCTTACAAAAAGTGAGATAACAAGGTGTAGAGCTGGATGAACACAGCAGGCCAGGCAGCATCAGAGGAGCAGGAAAGCTGACGTTTCGGGTCTGGACCCTTCTTCAGAAAAAAAGTGTGTGTCGGGGTGATGGGGAAGAAGGTGCAGTAAAGACTGAGGGGGAGGGATAAACAGAAGAGATTAAGTAGGCCTGTTTCGGCCAAACTCTGGCCCCAAAAGATCAGGCCTCTCCTGGACTGTCAGCCCACAAGAGATTTGAAGATCACTGGAAGACGGATCAAAGTGTTACCCTAAACCTGCACAGTGTTGCCAACCGAGACTAAACCAAATCCTGGAGACTGCACGTCACATGATTTGCACCCAGGCTTCAGCCATGAGTTGGCCAACATACCCATCCTTGTAATAAAAACAGGAATGCTGGAGAAACTCAGCATCTGTGGAGAGAGAAAGAGAGTTAATGTTTCAAACCCATGTAGGGATGCAATGGCTCAGTGGTACTCAGAATCCCTACAGCATGGAAACAGGCCCTTCGGCCCAACAAGTCCACACCAACTCAGGCCATCCCACCCAGACCCATCCCCCTATAACCCACCTAATCTACACATCCCTGAACACCACGGGCAATTTAGCATGGCCAATCTACCTAAACTGCACATCTTTAAACTGTGGGAGGAAACTGGAGCACCTGGAGGAAACCCACGCAGACACGGGGAGAATGTGCAAACTCCACACAGACAGTCACCCGAGGGTGGAATCAAACCCAGGTCCCTGGCACTGTGAGCCACCGTGCCACCCTAAAGTTATTATTGTTGTATTATTGTTAGATTATTAATCCAAAAACTCAGCTAATGTTCTGGGGACCCAAGCTGAAATCCTGCTACGGCAGATCATGGTATTTGACTTAAAGAATCTGGAACTAAAGGGTCTAATGATGACAGTGAAACCAGATGTGTTTTTCCAACAAACGATAACGTCCTTTAGGGAAGGAAATCTGGCCTACACGCAACTCCAGACCCACAGCAATGTGATCAACTCTTACCCACCCTCTGGGCAATAAATGCTGGTCCATCCAGAGATGGCCATCCAGAGATGGCCACATCCCGCAAGTGAATTGAAAACAAATGACGCTCCTCCAGAAATGGGGTTCATCATGGTGAAGCAAAAAGCTTCATTACCCAAATGGGTTGGCAATTGACAGTCAAAAAACCTCCCCATTTTCAATATTGTTACATCTAGTAAGAAAAGAAATGTTTAAAGAAAGTGATTATCCTTATTTTAATGTTCCTGCAATTTGTCTCCAAGAGAAGCACAGAACACCATCCTGGAGATAGATCTTCAATTCCTGGAGATTCTGAGCCAATCCTGGAGAGCTGAAAGTTCTGGAACCTACTTTGGAGCCGTAGCTGGCTACTCAACATCTTACCAATTTGTAACTTTTGCCACAGAAAATCATATTCACAAAGAAAACCCTAAGGAAAGAGAGTGACTTTTGTTGTGGGGATTGAAAACCCAATTGCGAAGAAGGGTCACTGGACCGGAAACATTAAACTCAGTTTCTCTCTCCACAGATGCTGCCAGACCTGCTGAGATTCTCCAGACATTTCGGGTTTTGTTTCTCTCATTCCAGCAGTTTTAAAAAACTCAACTCTTGGGCTGCACGTCATGGTTTCAAACAAACAACGAGTTTCACAGAATCCCTATGGCAGAGAAACAGGCCATTCAGCCCATTGAGTCTGCATCATCCCTCCGCAGAGCATCCTACCCAGACCCAGTTCCCTACCTTGTCCCTGTAACCCTGCATTTCCCATGGTTAATCCATCTAGCCTGCATCCCTGAACACTACAGGGCAATTCAGCACGGCTAACCCTTCCAACCTGCACATCTTTGGACTGCGGGAGGAAACCCACGCAGATATGCAGAGAATGTACAAACTCCGCACAGACGGTCGCCCGAGGCTGGAATTGAACAGCACTACGAATTACAGAACCACTGTGCTGCTCCTATTTCTTCTTTGATGAAGGAATATTCTCGCGCTCTGGAGGCCTCTGCACAAGGGGGTACAGTTGGCACCAGGCTTCTCAGTGAGGCTTAGCTGACACCCACTGAGGGGTCCTACGAAGCGTACTGCCTGCAATATCCTGGGAATGGGGAGGGGGTGGAGGGGGGGTTGGAGTTTCTAGTCCAGGCCACTTGGCTGTTGTCCACATGACAGGTTAAGTACACTGTAAGGCCCACCGATGGAGCTGCTCACCCCGTTGGGAGCTGCATCTCCTCCGTATAGGCCATTGGTTGGCAGTGAACATCAGTGTGCGACTGGAGCGGAGGGTGGTGCGAGACAGTGGGAGGGAGTCACATAGCCTGAGGCCCTCCGCCAAGGAGCAGGGTCTACTTAACAGGGAATGGCAAACATCTAGAGAGAGAGACACTGACTCAGGGTGGGGAAGGGGGACAGCCTAGGACATGGTTGGAGCGTTAGACTTTGGGGGGGGGGCATGTGGAATAGTGACTGGGGCCTGTATTTTTGAAGGGGGTGGGATTTTCTGGGGAGGAGTAAAAGAAGTGACTTGGGCTCTTTTTTGTGGGTGGTGGAAAGAGTTGGAAGTAACTGGGATCTTTGGTGGGGGGGGTTGGGGAAGGGGAGTCACTGAGTTTTATTTTGAATGTGGGGTAACTGGGGGTGTTTTGGGGAAGGGGGAAAGAAAAGGGGAGCAACTGGGTGGGTGGGGAAGAGGAGTGACTGAGTGGGTGTGGAGGGAGAGAAGGGGAGTGACTGGGTTGGTGTGGGGTGGGAATTGGTGACTGGGGTTGGGAGAAGGGGAGAGAGACTGGGCTTGGATGTACAAATGGCCATTTTTTTTTAAATTTACTCTTTCATAGGAATGTGAGTGTCACCAGCATCTGTTTCACTTCCCTAAATGATCTAAGCAGCTTGCGAGGGCATATCAGAGGGCAGTTATGAGTCAACCACATTAGACTCAACCACAGAAATCTGAATTTGACAAATAATCCGTTTCAGAAAAAGCCAAATTTCCATCTTGGGACTCTCGTTAGGTCTTTATAAAGTCATACAGCATGGAAACAGACCCTTCGGTCCAACCAGTCCATCCCAACCGCAATCCCAAACTAAACTAGTCCTACATTGCTCCCACCATTTCCTATTCATGTACTTATCCAAATGTCTTTTAAATGTTGTAATTGTACCGCCATCCACCACTTCCTCTGGAAGTTCATTCCACACATGAACCACTCTCTGTGTAAAAAAAGTCGCCCTCTGCGTCTTTTTAAAAATCTTTCCCCTCTCACCTTAAAAATATGTCCCCTAGTCCTGAAATCCCCACCCTAGGGAAAAGACACCTGCCATTCAACCTATCTATGCCCCTTACGATTTTGTAAGCCTCCTACGCTCCACTGAAAAAAGCCATAACCTATCCAGCCTCTCCTTATGATTCAAACCCTCCATTCCCAGCGACGTCCTGGTAAATCTCTTCTGAGCCCTCTCCAGTTTAATAATATCCTTCCTATAACTGGGTGACCAGAACTGCACACAGTACTCCAGAAGAGGCCTCACTAATGTCCTGTACAACCTCAACATGACATCTCATGACTTTTACAATTAGAAGTAGGGCCTTGGGTAGCATTATAGAACTGAGGGACCTAGGGGTTCAGGTACGTAATTCCTTGAAGTTTGTGTCACATGTAGACTGGATGGTTAAGAAGGCAGTTTGCATGCTTCGCTTTTTAGTTTAGACATTCTTTTTAAAAGACAAAGGTTGCTTGGGTAAAACAAAGTGACCCATCTCTGAATGACCCCCACTCCCCTGTTCCTTGATGTGGTTTCCAGAGAGTTGCACGATTTTCACATCTCCTATTTTGGCGACTTCTCCACAAGAGATTGCCAAATCAGTGCCAGTAAGTGTGACATTTTCAGAAGTTCCACATTCTGCTCTCTTCCCCTCAAATCGAGTACATTTTGAATGGAGCCACCATTCCCCACCGTGGTTGGGTGTGGAGGGAGGTGCCAGTCTGCACACAGCTAGATCCCACGAACAGTAGTGAGACAAAACGCGCTGATGAGGCGTTTTCGAACCCTGTCAAGGGGCTGAACGTTAGTGATGACAGTCAGAATACCCCCCCAGCACCCTCATCAAAACAAGTGGCTAAAGGGGTCATTAATATCCAACCAGCAAAGCCAAACTGTGGCCTTGGTTTCAGGTCTCAGGTGAGAGTTTCCTGGAGTCAAGGCCTTCACTGAAACCCAAATGGGAAGAAACAAAAAAAAAGTGGGAGCAGATGCCTACTATTGTGCCTAATTTTGACCCGTAATTTTTTCCTGACGTCCCGCTGAAAAACTGAGTCTTTAGGAACCTTCTCCCAAATTCACGTGCGTTTCAAATGCACAAGGAACAGATCAAAACTGGTAATCAGGGTAGAGTTAGAATCACTGTTCGTTCCCAACACTGGTGGCACTGCCTCAACTCAACACAACCCAGTCAATTTCAGCTCCCCCCTGAAAAATTCCAAATGGAATTCTCTCCTCGGGTGACTTTGATGAGCTAAGGCTTTGGAATTTTTTCTTTTTACTTATTCACATAATGAGGGCACCGGCAGCTAGGCCAGTATTCATTACCCACCCCGAATTGCCCAGAGGGTAGTTAAGAGTGAACCACATTGCTGTGGGTCTGGAGTCACGCGTACAAACCAGGTAAAGATAGCAAAATAAAAACCGAAAGAACTGCGGATGCTGCAAATCAGGAACAAAAACAGGAGTTGCTGGAAAAGCTCAGCAGGTCTGGCAGCATCTGTGAAGGAAAAAGTCAGAGTTAACGTTTCGGGTCACTGGGTGTTAGTGTTAGTCACTGGACCCGAAACGTTAATTCTGATTTTTTTTTTCCTTCACAGATGCTGCCAGACCTGCTGAGCTTTTCCAGCAATTTCTGTTTTTGTTGGTGCTGTTGTAAGTAAAGATGGCAGTTTCCTTCTCTAAAGTAACCAGATGGGTAATTCTGATAATCGACAACGGATTGATGACCATTAGACTTTTAATTCCAGATTTTATACCCCCCCAAATTAACTGAAACACCTGGAACATGCCCCCAAACAGTGCAGTGATTATATCCACACCCCCAGAAACACAGCAGCTCAACATCAACTTCCCAAGGCCAATGAGCAGGATTCAAACTCAGGTCCCTCGAACATTACCTGGGTCTCTGGATTAACAGGCCTGGATCATACCGCTCAGCTCTCGCCTGCCCTTAATTAACAGGGATAGGAGTTATGCAGTTCTGCTCAAAAGCCATATATCACTGGAGATCTGCCACAGCACTCTGAGCAGTTGCTAACCCGCTGCTCTAAGATGGTCAAAGACTGTGCCATCTCAGTGCCCCACTGGGTGGGGGGGTGCGCCGGGAATGCTGCACCCGCTGAACCCTTCAGATGAGATGTCAGTCAGGATCCCGTCTACCCAATTAGGCAGGGGGAAAGATGGTGCAGCACTTTCAACAAGGGGGCATGAGTGCTCCCCTTTGTAACACTGACCATACTCAACTCTTGATCATCAAAATACAAAATCATATCGCCCTTAGTTGTTTGTGGGAGCTTGCTGTGCAGCATTCCCTATATTACACGCAACTACACTTTGATTTAAAAATAAATCATCGGCATTCGCCAGCTGTGGAACATCCTCAGGTACTGAAAGGCGCTATACAAACACACATCTCTCTCTTGCTTTCTACTGGAATTAATCGGAGGTGATGCTCCCAAGCGAGGTCCACAGACAAGACAAGAACGCAGCACATTTACAGAGCAAGGATCAAGTTCAGCAATTACAGACAAAATAGAGAAAATAAAAGGTAAGTTCGGCCTACCGTAGGGCCCATATGCCAGGACTATCCACAGTGAGAGATTGGCAGAAGCAGGAGACAGAGAAAAAGTGAGAGACAAAGAGAGAGAGAGGAGTGGGTGTCGGGTGGAGAGCAAGAGAAAGAGAAAAAAAAAAGAATGAATGCAAAAGAACCCCCCCCAAGATTCCATACAAACACTACTTGCAGTTGATATCACCAGGAAAAAAAAAACAAAACAGCAATCGTAAAGTGTTCTTTTCCCCCCATGTAATACTCATTTACAGAATAAGGAGTCACTGACAAAGGTGGAATTTCCCAGAGATAGTAGGAACTGCAGATGCTGGAGAATCTGAGATAACAAGGTGTAGAGCTGGATGAACACAGCAGGCCAAGCAGCATCATAGGAGCAGGAAGGCTGACGTTTCGGGCCTAGACCCTT